ACAAATGTGGCTTGTATGGGAGATTGCAAATAAAAAAAGCTGCTCCTCAAGAAAGGCCACATGCAGTCACCACTGAGCTTTGCCAAAACATACCTTGAGCCTGGGTTCACATATATGTGGTGCGGTATATCGCATATGATTGGCACAGGAACCGCACCGCATTCCTGTGCAAATCACATGCGGTTTGTGTGCAGTGCGATTAGAGCCATACGTGCAGGACCCTTTTTTTTTTTTTGGTTTGCACTAGAATCGGATCGCATGGGTATTCACACCTATGCGATACGATTCTGCACATCTGCTTTCAGGGTGTTGTTAACTTAACATACACACCCACAGCGGTTCACATGAACAGGGTGCGATTCTGATGTGGAATTCGCACAGAAAACGCTGCAAATTCCTCACCTTAGCAGTGTCAACCAGGGCTGAAGATTCTAAGGCCACATGGAAAAAGGTGTTCTGTTCTGTCAGATGAGACGAAAATTGAATTAATTTGGCCTCAACACTATACAATAGATCTGGCGAAAATCCAATCCAGCTCACCAACCAAATAACACCATAGCTACAGTAAAGCACGGAGGTGGGAATATCCTGTAATGGGGGTTCTCTGCAGCAGGGACTGGAGGAAAAGGGGATAATAATGTTCCTACAATAAATTCTGTGAATATTCCCTTCAATTGTCCAATCACGTTCACATGAAATAGGTAGATAGGAACTCAAAGTGTTGATTTACCTTTACCAGAAGCCTGCCTATGCAGATAAGGGGTGTCTGTGGATAATAACAAACTGTGTGTCTCTGACTAAAGTTGAATAATGTCCTTGCTGTAGGTGTAGGCCATTTATATACCTCATGAAGCCTGACTGGAATACTCCCAGGACGTTGCTAAGTGAGGCCTAGTCATTGCTGCTCACCTCCACCATCACAGGAGTAAGCTTTTTTTCTGAATCAAAGCCCCTCACAAGCTCTCTCTCTCTCCCCTGATGCAGTAGCTCTGAGCTCAGCGCCTGAGAGCTCACTCCTGGGATGGTGGAGGTGAGAAGTCATGGCTGGGGCTCACCTAGCAATGCCCTGGGAGTTTTCCTCAGGCTTCAGGAGGTATGTGAATGGCCTACACCTACAACAAGGGCTTTATTCAACTTTAGTCAGAGCTGCACTGTTTGTTTTTATCTCCAGACGCCCCTTATAGTTGCTGTAACGGAACCAGAACCCAGACCGTACTGAGTTTTTCCGTTAAGCTCCACTTCCCTGTCCGAACACCATCCTTGGAACACACCACCCGCTCTGATCATGCAGGAACATAGAGACAGCACCCAGCTCTTCTTAAAACAGGAAGCTAACTCACTTTATTTTACATAAACAACAACTTATATACACAGGGCGGGGAAACACAACTAGGAACAGGAAACACATCATCAGCCCACCCCATCAGTGGGAGGGCTGCAGGAAACACATCATCACCCCTCCCCATCCAACCAAGACACAGAACAATGGGGCAGCACATGGCAAGGACAAAGGACAGCCAAGTGGCCGAGACAAAGGAATAACCACATGGCAGTACAATACAGGAACACATGCATCCCTCCACCAATACACAATACTCAGACAGTCACATGTACACCCTGTACCCCTTAACAGGCACAGGGTGAATTAAACATAATGAGAATTTGGGAAGATGATACAGAAGTCCCCCCACCCCCAAAAGTCACTCCCGTCACAGTTGCATAAGCAGCTTTGTGGTAAAGGTGAAGAAACCCTTAAAGTCCAACTCTGGGAAACTTAAAAATTGATCCTTTGCACTGGGGGTACACTCACACTGTATGGTTAGTTGTTCATTTAGTCTAGGAGAAAGGAAAAGTGCTTTTGCTTTTCCTCCACTCCCCCGGTAGACGTCACTCCTCTGTGTTCAGTGCTGAACTTTCCACAGGTGTCATCACGTCCAATGCAGGGCTATGGACCCTGCATTGGTCTTGATGACATCAGTGTAGGCAGGTAGTTCTTGCTTCATCCAGCAGATGGCATCTGCTGCTAGGTTCATAGAGTAGAGACACAGAGGGATGGTTTCCATCTGAAACTTCCATAGGCATCACGGGGAGAGCAGCTGTCTGATTGGATGATACAATCCCTGGTGATCTTCCGCGGACATTTTGGTCGGTGCAGCCTTTTTAAATAGGGGACCCTAACTAAGCCTAAACCTACACCCCCCTTCCCATTCTAAGTCTAGTCTAACTACCCTGTAAAAGTCTATACTTTACCTATTTGTTGATCCGGTCCTGTCACATGATATTTCCAGCGAAGGCTTCAGTGTAGAGGAAAAGCAGCGACCGTGGCTGCAAAGCGTGGACAATGATGTCACCCAAAGGCTTACTATGGGGCATCCGTGGTCAGTAGTCCCTCCTCTACGCTGAAGCTGGCGCTGGGAGCCAATCATGTGTCCAGTGCGAATTCAGAAAAGGTGAGGACAGGTGTTCAAGTAAGCAATCTTGACGAATTTAATACGTTCTGCGGGACGTTTCGTATTGCAAAAAATTTGCAAACTGAAACGCGGTTTCCCATAGGAATGCATTAAAAACCAATTAATCCATTCTGGAAGTCAGAAAAAAGTAAAAAAAAAAGTCTTTTATCTGTTCAAAGCTTAAAGTGCACTTTAAAGGCATAAATACTGTACAGGGACATGATTAAAAATGAATTCATAAATGCATTGAAAACCAATTAATCCATTCCGGAGGTCAGAAAAAAGTAAAAAAAGGCTTTTATCTGTTCAAAACTCTTTAAAAAATGCACTTTAAAGGCATAAATACTGTATAGGGACATGATTAAAAATTAATTTGTAAATGCATTGAAAACCAATTAATCTGTTCGGGGGGTCAGAAAGAAAAAAGTAAAAAAATCATCTTTTATCTGTTCAAAACGCTTTATAAAGTGCACTTTAAAGGCATAAATACTGTACAAAGACATGATTAAAAAAATTTGTAAATGCATTGAAAACCAATTAATCTGTTCCGTAGGAAAGAAAATAAAAAAAAAGTACAAAAAAAGTCTTATCTGTTCAAAACTATTTATAAAGTGCCCTTTAAAGGCATAAATACTGTACAGGGACATGATTAAAAAAATTTGTAAATGCATTGAAAACCAATTAATCTGTTCTGGAGGTCAGAAAATAAAAAAAAAGTACAAAAAAAGTCTTATCTGTTCAAAACTCTTTATAAAGTGCACTTTAACCTCTTGCCGTCCGCCTGCTGTTTATAAACGGCAGGGCGGTGGCAGTCCAGGGTCGGGTTGCCGTCCATAAACGGCACCCGCCTTTTCTAGCTATGCGCGCTCCCTGGGAGCGCGCACCACCGCGATCCGGTGCCCGCTGTGTCCTCCGGACACAGTGGAACATCGATCGTCGGACGGGACCTCTGTACGAGGTCCCGATCCTGTGATCACTGATTGGCGAATCAGTGATCACATGCAAAGTAGTAAGCAAGATGTCACTTGTGACATCATTGCTTACTTTGTGTGAAATCTGTGAATGATCACAGAGGTCACATGGTACAAGGCTATTCACAACAGCCTTGTACCATGTGACAAGCTGTGACCACTCACAGCTCACTCAGTAATTCTCAATGACTGCAGGAATGCAGACAGAGAGAAAGAGAAATGATTGCTTTTACATCCTATATGGGTGTAAAAGCAATCAGTGTAAAAAAAAAAAAAAAAAAAATCTTCATCACCCTCCACAAGTAGTACAGTGTCACCATGGTGACAGTGTACTGCTAGGGTGACAGTATGTAAAAAAAAAAAATAAAAATAAAAAATAATAATATAAAAAAATAAAATAAAATGTAAAAAAAATGTTTAAAAATTATAATTTTTGGTTATAAACTAATTTGGATTTTTTTTTTTACTAAAAAAAGAACGGAATAAATTTTGGCTAAGATTTATGATGAAATATTATTTATTTGCAAAATTTTATTTAAAAAAACACTTTTTTCAAAATTTTTTAACTTTTTCATTTACATAGTAAAAAAAATAAAAATCCCAGTGGTGAATAAATACCACCAAAATAAAGCTTTATCTGTCTCAAAAAAACGGTAAAAAATTCATATGGGTACAGTATTGCATGACCGCGCAATTGTCATTCAAAGTGTGATAGCGCTGAAAGCTAAAAATTGCCCTGGACAGGAAGGGGTAAAAGTGTCCGGACAGGAAGTTGTTAAAGGCACGGGGCCGGCGCTATAAACACTTCATATTGTGAAAAAAAATCATAAACCGAGGCATTATTTTCAATGGATTTTCATTCGAAAACTACATTAACCGAGGCGTTCGTAAACCGAGGTACGCCTGTGTACGCATCTTTCCATTACAGGGTAGATAGAAAAGGCTTAGAACGGGCGTGGGAACAGGTTTAAGTTTAATTCGGTTTTTACTTGCCTTCTTCTTTGATTTTCACATGATTGGCTAATTTAAAGTAATAATTTATTTTGTGAACATTATCAACTTCTTTAGTATATCAGCTTTGAAATATTGACTCAAGTCCCCCTTTAAGACACAACCAACCAACAGATTTTTTTGGAAGTAAATTTGATATCATTGCTGTCATGTAAGGCAGAAACGGGGAAGCGGGAGGAACCAAGCAAGCTGTTGTGATGTAGAAAATGAATTCTTCTTTATGCCTTATCGAAATAAAGGCCTCCTCTAATATATGCATGTGTTCATAACCTTCAATCACCAATAGATTACACTACCATTCTGCCAGCAGAGATAACATTCTTTGATTTAGAATGTGCACCTGCCTGCCTGTGAATGGAGGAGTCACATCAGAATCTCTGCTACGGGAAGACAACGGGCAGGAGAAGGGAAAGACGATGCTGGAGGGTAAGACAGAGACAGGAGGAGGCTTGGGCTGTGCCCTCTCTTTCTCCATCACCTCCTTCTGGGTGCAGTGAGGATATGAGTGGAGCCAAGGGGAGGCTGAAACTACTGCCTGCTGCTAGAGTACCCACAGTTAGTCCTGATCAGGGGCGGACTGACCATTTGGAAACTCAGGCACTGCCCGAGGGCCCGGGGTCAGTAGGGGGCCCCATGAGATGCCCCTAGTACCTTTTTCATAGGCTTTTTTGAGTTTGGGTAAGGACACAGGGGCCCCATGATCCCCTATTGCCTGGGGGCCCCATGAGTTGTCAGTCCGCCCCTGGTCCTGATGCACACTTGACATTTTTACAGCGGCTGTTTTTGGCTTTTGACTTTTTTACTACAGCTAGTAAAGCCCCCAGCATGTTATCCTATGTGTTTATGCACACATAGACTGTAATCAGTTTTTTTTGGTGGGGCGTTTTTTGGCTGGAAAAAAAACCCAGGACTAGTAGGTTTCTAGATGAGCTTTTAGCTATAAAAAAAGCTCTAACACTGAAAAATGCAGTAAAATACCACAAACCGGCGTTTTTGGACTTTTTTTGACCAAAATAATTATTTTGTTTGGTCAAAAACTGCTAAAAATGGCAAATGCGGAAAAAGCGGGAAAACGCTGCTAATTTCGGCAAAAAGCCGCTTAATGCTAATGCAAAAACATAAAAAGAGCTGAAAAACTTGCATTTTAAATGTGACTTTACACAGCTAACGTTACCAGCCTTATCAAAACGCCCCGTGTGCATGGAGCCTTAAAGTAAGGGGAGCAGGGTGGCAAACAGGGCAAATCTATTTTCCTGCCTGCGTATTGCCATTATTCCCATGTATTGTTCATTTTTATCACTATTCCCCGTTTTTGCCCATGTATATATCATGAATACCCATTTGTTGTACACATTGTCATGGTTGCCTACATATTTTCAACCATACCTATTTGTTGCCCATTTATTGTCCGTGAAGTGTCCATATTGTCAATGGAGTGCCCATTTGTTGTTGCCAACATACTGTCACAATTGCCCATTTGTTGCTTACATTTGTTACCCACCTCCTGTAAGGATTTTCAATGTGTTTGCGCACATATTTCCACCATTACCGGCATGTTTTTGCAATGATACGAGAGTCCATGTATTACACAGTTTAGTATCTTTCATTTGGCATAATACAGACATTGTTCTGTGTCACTTTCAGAATCTCAAGTTCACAAGGCTGCAAATGTTTTTGTTGGATACATACAGTCATGGCCAAAAATATTGGCACCCCTGCATTTCTGTTAGATAATGACAATTGTTGCAATTACAAATGTTTATTTCTTTTGTTTGTATTGGCATGACACAAAAAAGTGGAGAAACAAAAAGCCAAATCTGACATGCCATGCAAAACAGCAAAAACGGACTGGACAAAATTATTGGCACCCTCAATTTAATATTTGCACACCCCCTAGGAAAAAATAACTGAAATCAATCGCTTCCTGTAACCATCAATGAGTTTCTTTCATCTCTGTACTGAAATTGTGGATCTCTCTTCTTTTGCCAACTGCTCCAGGTCTCTCAGATTGGAAGGGTTCCTTTACCCTACTGCTGTTTTGAGTTCTTTCCATAGGTGCTCTATGGGATTGAGATCTGGACTCATTGCTCGCCAGTTCAGTACTCTCCAGTGCTTTGTCCTAAACCATTTCTGGGTGATTTTTTGACATGTGCTTTGGATCATTGTCCTGATGTAAGACCCATGACCTCTGATGGAGACCCAACTTTCTGACACTGGGCCCTACACTGCACCCCAGAATTCTTTGGTAGTCCTCAGATTTCATAATGCCATGCACAGGGTCAAGACATCCAGTGCCTGAAGCAGCAAAGCAACCCAAAAACATCAGTGACCCCCACCATGTTTGACTGTAGGGACTGTATTCTTTTCTTTAAAGGCCTCATTGCTTTTTCTGAAAACAGTAGAAAGATGGGCTTTACCAAAAAGCTGTAATTTTGTTTCCTCTGTCCACAGCACATTCTCCCAAAAGGATTTTGGCTTCCTCAGGTAAGTTTTGGCAAACTCCAATCTGGCTTTTTTTTATGTTTCTTTGTCAGCAGTGGGGTCCTCCTGGGTCTCCTACCATAGCGTCCCTTTTCATTCATATAGTGCGAGCTGACACAGTTGTACCCGTGCCTGAAGGTCAGCTTGAATTTGTCTGGAAGTTGATCAAGGTTCTTTATCCCCCGTTCAAACAATCTTTCGATCCAATCTTTGATAACATTTTTCTCTTTCATCCACATTTAGGGAGATAAGCTACAGTGCCATTGGCTGTAAACTTCTTGACAATGTTGCGCACAGTGGACACAGGAACATTAAGATGTTAATTGATACAGGTGAGTTTAACACCGTCCCGCCCAGCCTATAGAAGATTGACGGCTGGGCAGGACACTCCTCCTTGTGACTGGGTGTCATATGATATTCTGTCAAAAGGAGCCACTCGTGCGGCTGCAGGGCCATGCAGCGGTGTGATCTGTCACCGGCTGTGTCCACGTGACACAGCCGATGACATATCACTACACCGGCAGATTATTATTATTATTACATCGAGTTTATATAGCGCCAAAGGGTTTGCTTAGCGCTGTACAATAGAGGGGGGACAATACATGAAACAGTACAGCAACTACAAACAGCACACAAGGGGTAAGAGGGCCCTACTCTTTTGAGCTTACAATCTAGAAGGGAGGGGGTATTGGTACAGGAGGAAGTGGCTGTGGGGGATGGAGTGGTGGGAGGAATGAAGGAGAACGGCTGTTAGGTGAGGGTGGGGTGAGGGCAGATCACATGCCAATTGTATACAATGCCATCCATTGTATATTGTATACAATTTTGTTGTTAGCTGTGATTGGTAAAAGCAGTCACATGGTACAGACAGGGCCAATCACAGCCTATCTGTATCATGTGATGAGCTTTGCCCAACCACCGCTAATCACAACAAAAGACTGAATGAATCAGTTTAATTCAGTAACAATGATTGCAAATATCAATGAAATACATTGGTATTAGCCATCATAATGTGTAAAAAAAAAAAAATCCTGAGCACTTGCCCAGAGTAGTTCAATGTTACTACGGTAACATTGGTCACAGTGTGTTGAAAAAAAAATAGTAAAAAAAAGGAAAAAAGTATGTAATAAAAAATAAAAAAATAATAGAAAAATAAAAAACCAGTTACATAATAACTCTGTACTGGACTGGTGACAATATGTAAAAAAAATAAATTTTTATTTTTATTTTTAAATTTCTACATTTTCCAAAATATTGTAACAAACAAATTACAACTTCCAAAAAACTCACCATGCCTCTTACTAAATATCATGGACTGTCTATTTTCCCAAAATGGGTAATTTGGGGGGTAGTCGTACTATCCTGGCATTTTCTGGCCTCAAGAAATTAGATGGGCCGTCAGTACATCAGGATAGATGTCAGATATACTGTATATACCTTGGTTTACGGACTCTATAACTTTCGTACAGACTAAATAATATACACTAAATTGGTATTTTCACCAAAGAAAAGTAGCAGAATACATTTTGGCCTAAATTTATGAAAACATTTTTTTTAGTTGCAAAATTTTCAAACAGAAACAAAGAAAAATGCGTTTCAGGATTTTTTTTGTTTATTTAGCAAAAAAAAATAACAAAACTCAGTGGTGATTAAATACCACCAAAAGAAAGCTCTATATGTGTGAAAAAAATGATACAAATTTTTTATAGGCACAGTGTTGCATGACCGCACAATTATCATTCAAAGTGCAACAACACCGAAAGCTGAAAATTGGCCTGGACAGGAAGGGGGTAAAAGTGCCTGGTATTGAAGTGGTTAATTAAGCTCAGGCCAATCTAGTTGTCACTTAGAACTACTGCCCGGGCCAGCAGCCAGCTGTGTGTTTCATGTTCCATGAGAAGGAATGTGTACTGTAGGTGAGTCCTGCTTTTAAATCAGGAACCAGGATCATACAAAACTGTGACTCGTATTTAAAAGTGACAAAAGTTTTCTGCTAGCAAGTTGTAGGCTAATTAATGCAGAACTTGCATAACACAAGTGCTGTCACATTAAACCCAAAGCAAAAATGTAATATATTGCAGCTTACCAATCATCTGGTGATATGGTGGCTGCATTAGCTTTCTTTTTTTAAGCATTTTGCCCTCTGATTTTACTTGGTGATCTGGCCAGTAACACCTCCAGTATTAGAGTGTCCCCACTCTGGATGAAGGAGCATAGGGGGCACCTTTGGACAGCAGCATTGTCAGCCTAGAGGGAGTGTTAGATGTACTAGCAGATTTAGATACACTAACAAATTGAAGACAATTTCCAAATCACACTTTAGAAACAGTTATAGCAAACATTTTTCTTTTGGAATAAAGGTTTTACCTGACCCCCGGTTCACATCTATGCAGGTGGTGCCGCAGCGGATCCGCACGAAAATTTGTGCAGCTGCACCACCCGCACAGAGAAATGCGGACCCGCAGGCGGGGTGCCATTATTTCCGCACTGGAAAACACAACCGTACTGGGAATTGAGGTTCCCGTGCGGGCTGCACTTTCCAAAGAAGTGCAGGGACTTCTTTTCCTGCGTGTCAAGGGCACGGGCGTCCATTCAAATGAATGGGCTCTCGTGCCTGTGTAAAATGCGCCCCGCACGGCCGCATAGATGTGAACCAAGGGTAAATGAATAAAAGCTGATCCTTGTAAGCACCCCTGACAGTGGTAAATGGTCTGTCTCATCTCTGTAACTGCTACATCTGCAAGACAGCCTGTTCTTTTGAAAAACAACAGACTTACTGGCCAGATAACCAAATGAAAATTAAACTGTTACTAAACCTACAACAGTAAAATAAGTCTGTATATGCAGTAAAGCATGCTTGTTATACTCACTGTGGAACCTAAGGGGTTAATCCTCCGCATTATGTAAAAAGGCTTTTTGATCTGATCCTCTCCCCTTCTTATCAGCTGATAAGACATATGGTGCGGAAACAAGTTCAGTTTGGTGTGTATTGCTAGAGAGTTTTTTTTGTCTTGGGAGAGTGCATGTGATCAGCACAGGGCCAATCAGCACTGTCCAGACAGAGGTCAGGGGTTCTGCATCCTCCTATAGCAGAAGAAAACTCCTCCTACAAGCTTTAACATGTGCTCGGGTGGACACTGATAGTAGTCACAAGACTGCTCTAACTGCTGATGAGAAAAGGTATTTAGCAGTTTATACTTACAAAATAAATGCATGTCCATGTTCTGTGTACTTTCAGAGACCAGATATAGTGAATGATGGGTCCTGGGTTTAGTAACACTTTAAGGAAAGAAAACCTAACAAAAGAAAACTAAGGCAGTCATTTCATCTAAGAATTGTTCAGCTGCAATTTATAATAAATGTTTGCTTTTGAGTTTAATACCATTTAATTTTCAGCTTCCAGGGGGCCTTGGCCAGGTATGGTATAAACATAGTTGATCCAAGCAGGACCAATGTAACTATGTATAATATAGCCATGCCTGGAATTATTCTTTAGGTAGTATTTACAGAAGTTTCACTTCCACTGCAATAACATTCCTACTTATTCTCTGTTTTCTGTATGGTTTCCATCAGTTAACTGTGCCAAGAAACATACTGAATGTAATCTGTTCGGATCAAGCTAACCATTTTTTTTTTTAAAACCTCCTTCCTATAAATCAAATCTGCTCAGGGTCACTGACCTGTTATAGAAATACAACACATCAAACCCAAGATAGATTTAGTACAATCACATCAGTCCGTAAGACAAGAGTTTTGTCTTCAGCACCCAAAAAGAATCTTCGCTTTCTACAAATATAACAATCCACTCTGCCAAAACATTTTGACAGTTCTTGAAAAAAATGTTCATTACTCATTAGTCCTCATGCACACGGGATGTTTTTACAGTGGCTGTTTTTTGCTTTTGAGGTTTTTTTCTACAGCCAGTAAACCCCCCAGCATGTTATCCAATGTGTCCATACACACAGACTGGAATCAGCGTTTTTTGGCTGGGAAAATACCCCAGGACTAATGGGCTTCTAGAGGAGTTTTTTAGCTGTAAAAACGCTCTAACGCTGAAAAACACAGCAAAATGCGGTAAAACACCACAAACTGGCGTTTTTGGACTTTGACCAATAAAATTTTTTATTTTTTTTGGTAAAAATAAACATTAAAAATGCTAAGATACGCAAACGCGGAAAAACGCAGGAAAACGCCGCTAAGCGCTAATGCAAAAATGCGAAAAAAAAAGCTGAAAGAGTTTACACAGCTCATGTTACCAACGTTATCAAAACGCCCCGTGTGCATGGAGACTTAAAGCAGAAACCAGGGTGGACTGACTATTTGGAAACTCGGGCACTGCCCGAGGGCCTGGGGTCAGTAGGGGGCCCCATGATATGCCCCTGGTACCTTTTTCATAGGTTTTTTTGAGTTTGGGCAAGGACACAGGGGCCCCATGATCCCCTATTGCCCAGGGGCCCCATGAGTTGTCAGTCCGCCCCTGGCAGAAACCTAATAATCCATATAGATGGTCATCTGACATCCATTACAGGAACAGCAAATACCACTGTTCAAAGTGCAGGAAGATTTAAAGTGTACTTTTGCTTTGGGAGTCAAATTTGGGAAAACCTCATTATATTTATTATGTGTTCTCATTCACACAGCATACCCAAAAATATATATTTTGTAGCCTCCCTAGCGGTCTGATTATGTCCATATTTCTGTGCTCAAAGCGGTACATTGTTTTCAATGGAAATATGTAGTTTTTTATTGTAGGCTGTAATTCTTAGGAATAACTCACTGAAATCTGTCCGAACAAGAGTCTATTAAACATCCCGGGTATGTTAAAATTTGAAACACGAAATCATAAATTATAATATAATAAATAATCATAAAAAATAATAATATAATAATAACACATTTAATAACATAATATAATCAAACCAAAAACACTGAAATTTGAAATATAGCGCCAAGTTTGCACATCACTGAGCAAAGTCGCAAAATCGTTTTCAGTGTCTGATGACGAATTTCCCCACAAATCATTATCACTCAATTCTGCAAGTAGTTCTGATTTACTATCGCTGTTCTCTAGCTGGTCTAAAACCGCTTTTGACATAAAGGGACGCTTTTTGGACGCCATGGACATTTCTCAGTTTCCAGGCAGAAAGAACAGTAAAAATGCAGACAGGGCACAGGACAAAGCACTAGAGACAAAATGTATGTGAAATGGTTTGATACAGTAATATTATACTATGTGATTTTAGTGATTTTAGTGAATGTCACTTTTGCAACTTTCAAATTTCCCGCCAGTTCTGTCCCCCGTACATCCCGAAGCTCACAGGAAATGGAACCCAGAAGACAGATGCCGACATCGGCCGGAGGACATTGCAGGGGACACTGCAGGGGGGACATTGCGGGAGCGCAGGACAAGGTAAATGCAGAAGAGATCCCGGAGCAACGCTGCAAGGTATTCCTGAGTGTAGCTCGGGGTTACCGCTTGTGGTACTGAAACTTTACCCCGAGCTACACTTGGGAATACTGCCAGGGAGGATAAAAAGGTATTTCTTATCTTTCTTTTGGTTTCTTTGGAGAAGGCCTTTGAACAGATTGCAAGCTATGAAAGGGAAGGAACAACGCAGGGAGAGAGTAATGCCCCGTGCACACAATAAGAAAATCGTCCGAAAAATTTCTGATTGAACGATTTTCAGTGAGCAGCAGTTATGTGGGTGAACATCCCTTGTGATGTCAGAGGAGAATGAGCAGACTGGTTTGAGATGATAAAAAGGCAACAGTAACTCAAATAACCATTTGTTACAACCAAGGTATGCAGAATACCATCTCTGAAGAAACAACACGTTGAACCGTTGAAACGTTGAAGTAGATGGGCTACAGCAGCACACTGGGTGTCACTACTGTCAGCTAAAAAACAGGAAAGAGATGTTACAATTTGCACAGGCTCACCAAAATTGGACAACAGAAGATTGGAAAACATTGTCTCGTTTGATGAGTCTTGATTTCAGTTGCGACATTCAGATGGAAGGGTCAGAATTTGGGGTAAACAACATGAAAGCATGGATCTATCCTGCCTTGTATCAATGGTTCAGGTTGATGGTGTGGGGGACATTTTCTTAGCACTAGCAAGGTGTACCTAATAAAGTGGCCGGTGAGTGTAGATGGATGGTGCATTTGCAATCTACACATACATTAACCTCTTCCCGTCTGCCCTATAGTAGTAATACTGCTACAGGGCAGCACAGGTGTGCAAAATCACATATATGTACGTGATTTTGCATTTCTGGGTAGGGGGCGCACGCCTTGGCTGTCAATCACCGGGTCCCGGATGGTGATTACTCGCTGGCACCCGATGATCAAGGACCATTACTGACAGAGGGAGAGAACTGTAAGTAAACAATACAGTTTTCTCCCTTGTCAGCTCCTGCACACTGCTTTGTATGGCTGTGCATAGCAGAGCCATGCAAAGCAGGGTGCTTCCAGTGTAAAGCACTCACACAGTCCACAGTAAAACAACACACAGTTAACCCTTTGATCTCCCCAGATGTTAACCCCTTCCTTCCCAGTGCCATTAGTACAGTGCCAGTGATTTTTATTAGCACTGATCACTGTATTGCCCGCCGCAGTCCCGCTATAAGTTGCTGATCGCCTCCATTACTTGGGAAAAAAAAAAAAAAAACTCCAGTATATATACCGCCATTTGTAAACCAACTTTCACGTAAACCAACTAATTTACACGTATTAGAATTTTTTTGTAGCAAAGACATTTGGCAGAATACATTTGGCCTAAATTTATTTTGAAATTTGATTTTTAAAATTTTCACTGGACATGTTTCAAAGATGTCGGACTTTTTTGTTTTTAGCGCAAAAAATTTAAACCGCACAGGTGATCAAATACCACCAAAAGAAAGCTCTATTTGTGGGGAAAAAAGGACAAAAATCTTATTTGGGTGCAGCGTTGCATGACCGCGCAATTAGCACTGATCACTGTATTGGTGTCACTGGGGATGTCAGTGACACCAAGTCAGTCCCCCCCAGTGTCAGAATGCCCGCCACAGTCCCGCTATAACTCGCTGATCGACGCCATTACTAGTAAAAATTCCCAGTATCTATACCGCCATTTGTAAACGCTAGAACTTTCACATAAGCCAATTAATTTACACGTATTGGGATTTATTTTTAGCAAAGACATGGAGCAGAATACATTTTGGCCTAAATTTATGATGAAATTTTATTTTTATATTTTTTTTTACTGTTTAATAGCAAAAAGTCAAAAATATTGTTTTTTTCTCAAAATTGTTTTTTTTTTATTATAGCTCAAAAAACAAAAAATGCTTTGGTGATCAAATACCATCAAAACAATAAAAAGGATGTAAATTTTATTTGGGTGCAGCGTTGCATGACCGCGCAATTGTTAGTTAAAGGGGGGGAAATGCTCAGGAGGGCAAGTGGTTAAGCAGAGCACTTATACATTGCTATTGATTTCTTCTAGAATTCTTCTAGAATTGTGTATTGACAGACACGTCATACTAATAGTACGTTGTAGTGCTTTGTACATACCCCTCAAATATTCCACACTTCAATTAGTCTCTTTGCTGCACGGAAGATCTGTGATCCTGCCAGGAATGGGAAGACTCTAGAACTGGATCATCAAGCAGTTTATTGAAGGAGATTTTATTTTTGGATCATCCCACACACAGATCATTACATTAATCTCCTTGAACTTCCTGGACTGGCAATAGTTGGGTGTTTTCACACTTCTCATTTACATTATTTTTTTAAGCAATAAGAACCCACATGAAACGTCTTCCGGCTTCAGACCGATCCAAAACAAACAGGGCGAAGAACATGGAAACTAGGACACAGATGCGGCCGGGCTTGGATAACACAACACTGCGGAGCTGGATATGGAAGTAGGGACTACACCCATAGGAGGGAGTGTCATTACACACTTCATTTTTTACCATCTGCCATTCATTTATATGCTGGCACTCAGCTTTCCTTGCCACAAAATTATTTCTTCTCTGCATTTACTGACTCTGGAAACTGATACGTGTAGTAAGCAATCTATGCCATACAACACAAAGCTCTCAATTTTGTAAATATATTGTAGTTTCAGATAACTTGTGTTGCCCTCCAACCAGGGGCAGACTGACCATTTGGAAACTCGGGCACTGCCCGAGGGCCGGGGGTCAGTAGGGGGCCCCATGAGATGCCCCTAGTACCTTTTTCATAGGCTTTTTTGAGTTTGGGCAAGGACACAGAGGCCCCATGATCCCTATTGCCCGGGGGCCCCATGAGTTGTCAGTCCGCCCCTGCCTCCAACTGCTGCACATCATCGAGACCTGGCATGATCCGACAGGCAGACATGTGGTTCATAGCTTCTATTGCTGCATTTTGGCAGGTTTGTATACTGAAAGTGGTTGTAAACCCCTACATATGCCAAGTGCAGTGACTGGCCTCAGGTGTAATACTCAGAACAAATCCTCCTACATAAGTTGTACCTGTTTATCTGTAGTCTTCTTTTCTCTACAGCCAGAATTTATACAAGTTGTTTGAGCTTTCAGAAAGCAGGAGGTAGGGAGCAGAAGTTACATTCTGCAGAGCTCAGGTTAGGTTCACATATGTGCATCCGCACAAAAATCCATGTAGCCGTACCACCCACACAGAAAAATGCAGGTGCCATTAATTCTAATGGAGATTCTAATGGAGATTCTGGCGGAGATTTCACTTCACTTCCTGTGCTGGAGATACAATTGAAAGCAGCACTTTTTCATTCTGGATACCGTAAAGGAAGGTTATAACCCCTGTCAGCTTTTTTATGTCATCTGTGTCCCATTGGGAAGATTACTCCTCACTTCCGGTCCCATAGACTCAACAGGAAGCGAGAAGAAATCCCTCTAAAGTGAGGGAAATCCTGGTGGTCACCAGAACTAGTGTTCTTAGTGGAGGATTCCCCCTTTACTCAGGTGACTACTCAAAATGTGGGACTTTGAGGAAAGACATAGGATGAATCTCCTTAAGCCTGGGTTGACAAATATGCACCACATTCCTGTACAAATCACATGCGATTGGAGCCATACATACCGCACCTGCACCAAAAATGTGCAGAACCCTTTTTTTGGTCCGCACTAGAATCGGATCGCATGGGTATTCAAACCTATGCGATCCGATTCTGCACATTGCACCGCATTTTGCGGACCGCTTTTGAGGTGTTGTTAACATACACATCCGCAGTGGTTCTGATGCGGTGCGGAATTCGCACTGAAAACGCTGTGAATTCCGCACTGCATCAGTGTGAACCAGGCTAATGATTGTAGTGTTCTAATTCCTTTCCTCTCTATCCAAAATGAAAAATAGGTTTGCTTTCAGTTATACTTTAATCACCCCAGAGGGAATACAGGCAAAAACAAAATCTTGGCAGAGGATCTAAGCTTTCTCCACTTCATCCAAAACTTAAAAAAAAAACTTGACATACACTTTAATATGCATATTAAAATGTCAAATTTAATGTTTTGTTTTGCATTTGCTTTATTGATCAACTTGGGTACAACCAGCCTGCCAGATTTTACATGTGGTTATTGCAAGCAGCTATTATAACTACTAGCAATAATCTCTGTCTTCTTCTCCCCATTGTTGCAGGAAAGAAATGTGCTCCATCTATGGCCTGCTTTAGGTTATGTTAACAAGCTTTCTAGGGGATGTAGTTCTTTATATAGATTACATGTGACAACAGTCATTATATGGAAGATGAACTTTCTGGAATGGTTTGCTACATCAAGTATAAAAATTGCAAGATGCATAAGGGAAAACTCAGTTTGATGCGGTGCATTATTATTATTATACAGGATTTATATAGCGCCAACAGTTTGCGCAGCACTTTACAATATAAGGGAGACAGTACAATTACAATACATTTCAGTACAGAAGGAATAGGAGGGCCCGGCTCATGGAGCTTACAATCTAAAGGAAGGGGGAGGTGATACAAAAGGTGATAGCTGCAGGGGATGATCTGATGGAGGTGATTCAAGTACAGTTCCTAGGTGGAGGTGGGGTAGGCTTCCCTGAAGAGGTGAGTTTTCAAAGATCGCCTAAAGGCAGACAGGGTGGGGGCTGACTGGACATGCAGTGGTAGGGAGTTCCAGAGGATGGGAGAGGCTCTGGAGAAGTGCTGGAGGAGAGGTGATGAGGGAGCTAGAGAGGAAGATATCATGGGAGGAGCGGAGTGGGTGATTTGGGCGGTATCTGTGGATGAGGTTGGCAATGTTGCTAGGGGCAGTGTTGTGGATGGTTTGAGTTCAGTGGGAAAACGTATTGGGTTCAATGGGAACACATGTGAAACATGCCTAAAACACAGCCCCAAATACATGCATAGATGAACGAGGCCCTAGACTTAATAACATTTGGTGGGATCTGATGATAGTCATCGAACACCTACAGTCAACTTTAGTCAGTTGCATCAGGGGCAGAAGTTATCATTTACCAGTTCTCAATCATTTTATTCATAAACATAGGCAATTATAATAAATACAAAGAAAGCTTCAACTGACATGACAATCCACACTCAACAAACATCTGAAGAATTCAAGAGTTGAAGGTCAGGTGGAATTCTTGACCTAGCCCTCATGGTGACCACTTGTTGTTGTCCCCTACTAACAGGTGCTCAGCTGTAGGAAATTTTTCAACATGGGGAGCCATGACGTCTATAGCAAAAAGGCCTTACTGTCATTTCCCCCTGCTGCATTTCTGGAAAAGAATCCAATAACACAACTCAAAATAGCTTCCTTAGCCATGTGAACCAGACATCGCAATACTGAGCTCTGCATTGTAGAGTCTGAACATTGAGATATTTTTAGGGCACATAAGGCCTGATTCATCAAGCTGCCATGGCACTTATGGCATACTAAAACTTAAATATGATTTGATATCTTCTCCTGCAAGGATAACCCCTCTACTCAATGATACCTTCATGGTGCTCCACCAACCAACATTTGGGGAAAAGTCAAAAATCCTGATCTCCATTTTGGTTCTAGGTCTTGAACTCAAAAAGGGTTAAAGTAATCAGATCAGAAAATCAGCTGTTGTCAGGTTTTTCTCATGACTTTACTTACTATTACTCGTTACTTATGTGTCCGTTTATGACACACAGAATAGCTGAGATTCAGAGGATCACAGCTATTCTCTGGTCATTCACAATTTATGACACCCAGGAGAATATGTTCAGCCCTTCTCTGGAGATCTGTGTTCTCCCTCCAGATTCTCCAGCCCAGAGCTGGAGAATCGGAGGGACCGAAAACTAAGCAGAGATAATTTACCTCTTCTTAGTAAACTGATCTTTTACTGTAATCTCGCGAGATTATAGTAAAATCAGCCGTTTTCCAGAGTTTGTAGACCGTTCTCCAGCGTTTGGAGATCGTTCTCCCTTCGTTCGGAGAACTGCTTCATAAACTGCATTCACAGGAGAACTGTGTTCTCCGAGAATGCCGGAGAACTGAGCAGCGATCTATTACTGCTGGTTCATAAACTGACACCTTAATTTTTGCTGATTTTAACACCTGATTCACAAGCATTTTTTTCCAGCTGAATAAATTCAGTTCATTTTGTTATGCAGGCCATAGACAGGGAGAAAACTGGCCAGTTTTTTAACAAAAAAATGAAAAATCGGTTGTTCAATAGGCCGACGTTACCACCAACAGTAAAATAAAATTGGCCGATTTTCTTCCCGTCTACGGCCGGCATTTAATTACTTCTGTCCCTGCAGAGAGCTCTGCTATTATATTTGACATTAAAAAGTATTGCGGTTGCAACATTGTATCTATTTGTATCCATTTCGGATACAGATGAGTTTTTTCCAGATACAAATAGATACATTGTTGCAACCGCAATACTTTTTAATGTCAAATATAATAGCGGACTGGAATTCTTCTTCTTTCTCTTCTTTCTCTTCTTCTTCTTCCTCTTCTTCTTCTTCTTCTTTCTCTTCTTTTTCTTCTTCTTCTTCTACTTCTTTCTCTTCTTCTTTCTCTTCTTCTTCTTCTTTCTCTTCTACTTCTTCTTTCTCTTCTTCTTCTTCCTCTGCTTCTTCTTTCTCTTCTTCTTCTTTCTCTTCTTTTTCTTTCTCTTCTTCTTTCTCTTCCACTTCTTCTTCTTCTTTCTCTTCTTCTTCTCCTTTCTCTTCCACTTCTTCTTCTTCTTCCTCTTCTTCTTCTTCCTCTTCCTCTTCTTTTTCTTCTTTTTATTTTTCTTGCAGGTCACGGCTCATGCGCAGATTTATTTATCGGTAAAAAGATCGGCCTATTTGTCCATCATTCCCTCGAAAATTGGCCAATTTTTTTCCAACTTTACCGATCAAAAAAATCTGACAAAATCCAGAAAAAAGGCAGACCAATTAACCCATTAATGGTGCGAAAATCAGCTGATTTTTATTTTCGCCCAAAAGATCGGCTGATTTTCGACCCATCTATGGCCTGCATTAGGATCACTTTAGCTTTTTCAGCTGTCAGAAGCACATGAAAAGCCTCTATCAGTGTTGCTCCTCACATATGAGTTCTCATGCACACGGGACGTTTTGATAATGCTGGTAATGTTAGCTGTGTTAAACACATGAGGTTTTTTTCAGTGTTTTTGCATTAGTGTTTTGCCGCGTTTGCATTTTTAGTGTTTTTTTTATCCCTGTAAATTTTTTTTTGTCAAAAAAAGTCCAAAAACGCAGGTTTGCGGCGTTTTACCACATTTTTCAGTGTTTTTCAGTGTTAGAGTGTTTTTACAGCTAAACAACTTCTCTAGAAACGCACTAGTCCTGGGTTTGTTTTCCAGCCAAAAAAAGTCCCTGCCAAAAAACGTTGATTACAGTCTGTGTATGGACACATAGGATAACATGTTAAGGGGTTTACTGGCTGTAGAAAAAAACATCAAAAGCCAAAAACAGCTTTTGTAAAAACGTCAAGTGTGCATGAGGGCTGATTTGTAAAAGCCTCTTCCAGCAGCCTCTGTTGTCCTCTGGAAAGCAATCCATGGTAGATTGCTTTGTAGAGGGAGGTAGAACAGTGGCTTTCAGGAGGTGATCCTGCCACCTCCTAAGGGCTCTTTCACACAGGCATTGAAAACAGGTGGTTGGTTATTTTGTTGGTTTTTACCACTTCCAAACCACCTATCAAAACCACTCAACATTTTTAAATAGGGAGCTGATGGAGGCGTACACACTGCAGCTTTTGGAGGTGGAGGTGTACTGCCATGCAGCAGGAGATGATGCTATGCAACTTCCTCCAATCACTTCTATTGACACATGCCACAAATGT